GGCACTGTAGATTTGTGGAACCTCTTCTATAGAAGAGGTTAGAACTGGCAGGAACCCACCCTCTGTTAAGAGAAGGCTGTTCAATTTTGACATAGATGGCCTCTTTGACACCTCTTTCAAACCAACTGGTTCTTTCCAACAGTTCCAAGAAGGCTCCACATCCATTTGCACCATTCAGGTGACCCTGAGGACACAGGTAAACCACCAGGTGACCTTCATGACTTGCTAAAAGAATGCAAATGACCAAGCTGTCTGCAAGAAGTATAAATCCTTCCATTCCCCACCATCCAGTCAGAACTGAAGAAGCTTCTTGGATGAGAAGTGAAACGTCTTGAAAAAAATAAAATTCCCAGAAAGTCCAGTTGCCTCTTGAAAAAGCACCTTTGGGATAGCCATGACCTGAATGAGTGAGAACCTCCATTGACAGAGACTGTGTGTATTAAACTCGAACTATCTCATGCAGTCCACTTAGTTGTGTTCTTACACCTTGCCACTATTTGGAGGACTACATTTTCAGATAGGGATAACCACATCCATCTTCTAATTTTGTTTAATATATATATTTTTGTTACAAATTTTAAAATTCTTTTACAAACAAAGTGTTGTCTGGGATTCCCCCCTTTTTTACATTCTCTCTTATACGTAATTTGTTTTACATCACATTACCATTCCAATTTCAGCCCATTATTTTCTTCCCATGTTTCCGTCTTAAATTTTTCTTAACATGTAGACAGTATCATGTTTCACCCTTTCAGAAAAAAAATATATAACAAACTTATTTCATTTTTCATTTGTTATTCTAATTTCTATAGGTAGCATATATCATCACATTCAATTTTACTATAACAAGCATTTTACTTAGTTGGTTATCCACAATTAACATTGTTATTTTTTTAAACTATATATCATTAGCAGTATTAACATATTTCATTTTCTACTCTACTCTTAATACATCTCTTCTTTCTCTTCCTCCTTTCCTAGCCATTTTCTCTGAACTCTTGCTCTCTTTGATGTTCCATTTTTCATCAATTTTCCCTTTGTCCTTCTATCCCCCACTCTTAATTTCCTTTCCCCCCCATTTATATGTATTATATCTTTTCTTCAGAATTTTCCCTACATATATACGTATAAAAGGAATCATCTAAATTTGTAAAAGTCCCAAAGGATAATGGTAATGTCACATTTATTTTGATTTTTTTTTAAAAAGACACTGTTTTAAAATTTTATTGTCTTTAAGGCCAATAGGAATTTCACAGTTCTGATCATGGCTTCAGATCATGGATCCCCACCCATGTCATCAACTGCAAGAGTCAATATTGCTGTGGAAGATTCAAACTACAATTTGCCCGTATTCACCCAAAAATATGTAAGATGTTTAAGATAACTACTAACAGTGTGGGAGAATGTATGCTGGACCCAGCCACAAAGAGAACAACCATCTTCCTTTAACTCACATTTTCAAGCTCACAGAACAGGATTTATATCGCCTGGTTTCTTTCTGATGGGATTCCTTTTGTGATGAATAAAATGCATTTTTTGGAGAGGCTACTAAAATGCAATTAACAGATTAACAGAGTTGGAAGGGTCCTTATAGGTCATCTAGTCCAACCCCCCCCCCCGCTCAAGCAGGAGACCCTACACCAGCGATGGCGAACCTTTTTTGGCTCGCGTGCCATAAGCGGGGGGAGCGCAGGGGGGTCATGCGCGGGCTGGCCGCACCTATAATGCAATGCGCAACCTCCCAGTGCACATAATAGGTGCTCCCCCCATGTTTTGCATACTTTTTTTTGCCCTCCCTAGGCTCCAGAGGCTTTATAGGAGACTGGGGAGGGTGAAAACAGCCTCCCCTGCCTCCCCGGAGGCCCTCCGGAGGCTTCAGAAGCTTCCCTGAAGCCTCTGGAGTGCAAAAAAACCGGCCCTACGGGCAAACCGGAAGTTCAGGAATGGACTTCCGGTTTGCTTGTGAGGCTGGTTTAAGCACTCCGGAGCCTTCAGGGGCCTTCCAGAGGCTTCCCTGAAGGCTCCGGAGGACTAAAAACAACCCTACGAGCAACCGGAAGAGACTCCTTGCCAAGTTTTGCAGATATCGGCCTGGCAGCTCTCCAAGCCAGATAAGGCCTGTGACCATAAATCCTCCCTTGAAAGACTTTGGTGGATGTGAATGAGTAGAATTCACAGTAAATTAATGAAAGGTATTTTTGTCAGGACAAGGAGTTTGTTTCATGCTCTTGGGAAGCCTCAGTCAGAACACCATATACCTTCTGCCTGCATAACCCAACGTAGCCTTTTGTCTCTTCATCAAGACAGACACAATGCCAGAAATTATTTTTGACGTGTCACAGAACTCTTTCTGTGTCTTCCAAGTATCATGCAGATGTCCCAGAAGGCACATCCGAAAGCAACATCCTTCGCCTCAAAGTGGAAGACAAAGATAGTCCTAATACACGTGCTTGGAGAGCCAAGTATTCCATAAGAACAGGAAACGAAAGAGGAAACTTTGCTGTTTTTACGGATTCGACAACCAATGAAGGCGTTTTACGTGTTGCCAAGGTAAGGCAGCCCTGACAAAGATAGAGATAAGATTTCTAGAATAATTTCATTGGCTATACCAGTGATGGCTTACCTTTTTTGGCTTTGGTGCCAAAAGCTTGTGTGCCCACACCCATAATTCTATCCCCCGTGTGCCCCCGTGCAGGCGGGTACGACCCCTGCTGCGCTCCCCCCCACATGCGCTCATGACCCCCCTTTGCCACACCCCCTGCACATGCGTGCATGACCCCCCTGCCTTCCTGAAGCCTAGGGAGGGCAAAAGCGGCCTTCTGCAGCCCCCTGGACACTCTCCAGAAGCTGGAAACGGCCTGTTTCTGAACTTCCGGTAGGCCCAGTAGGCCATCTCCAGGCTTCAGAGGCTTTCCTAAAGCCTGGGGAGGGCGAGAATGGCCGCTCCCGGCCCTCCGGAGGCCCTTCAAAGGCTGAAAATCAGCTGGCCAATGCATGCATGTGTGCTGCAGCTGACCTAAGGCAATGGCTCACGTGCCCTCAGAGATGGCTCTGTGTGCCACCTGTGGCACGCGTGTCATAGGTCCACCATCATGGGGCTATACTGACTATGGAGGATGGGAGCTGCAATGCCAATTCTGTAGAGCAGGGGTCTCCAACCTTGGCAACTTTAAGCCTGGAGGACTTCAACTTCCAGAATTCCCTAACCAACTGGCTGGGGAATTCTGACTTGAGGAATTCTGGGAGTTGAAGTCCTCCAGGCTTGACGTTGCCAAGGTTGGAGACCCTGCTCTAGAAGGCATCAGATTTGGGAATAAGCTAGAGGAAACCAGAATATATTAATGGAAACTTTTGTGGGGTTTTTCCCCCCCCAGCCTTTGGTCTATGGTAGCCTTTCCATGAGGAGACTTGTCATTGCTGTGGAGAATGAATTGCCCTTCTTTTTATGCGAAGGAGGCCTTCAGCCACCGTTTTCTGAAGTCTCCGTGAACATCAATATCACCAATCGAAACTATGCCCCTCAATTCATTCCTCCACTTCTTCATTTCAAATATCAAGAAGGGGTCAGGGCCGGTACTACACTTGTGAAATATACAGCTCACGATTCAGGCACAGCACAAGATAAAATCAGGTAAGTGCTTATGGTTAGTGTTCCTTTGTGAATGTTATTTGAGGATTGTTGCTTCCTTACATTTCTTCCTTATGTTGGAAGAAATATCCATCGGGGTCAGTTGCAAGCTGGGAGAAAGGCATTGGAGACAAAATGAAGGCTGGAGGCTGGTTGGGAAGAGGGCCCATTTATTGATGAAGCAGAACCACCAAGCACATGTGATTCTGGGCAGCTGACCACATGGAGTTGAGAGTGAGGGGGCTTTATACCTTCTCTTGGGCTTTGCACGTGAGCTTCCTGTTCCTGTGCAAGAGCATGTATTCTATTGGCTGTTGTCAGACTCCCGTGGTGCCATGTACAAATCCTAAGAATTTGTCTGAGCTACGTTTGGTTGAAGTTTGGACTGATGCAATGAAGGGGCTTGCTGGGCAATTCCTATTGTGGCTGAGACCTTGCTGCAGGGAATGTGCTTATGAATAGAGCAGGGGTGGGTTTCTCGCCCCGTTCCAACCGGTTCGTACTAGCGTCTGTGCGATGCTCCAGCTGCTCCTGGAGGATCGCGTAGGCGCTGTATGCATCCTGCGCGT